AAAGTCCAGCCTTTCTCACATCAGCCAGAATTGTATCCTTAACTTTTTTTTGCCATGAGTTGAATCATTTCCTCCCATATAGTTTTTGACAAATAAGAGGGATTGCCTGGTCCATAATGTCCATACCAATTGATATGAGCAAGTAAAAATTGATCAAATTTTGCCACTAGTTCTAAAAGAACAAGATAATTGCCATTATTTTCATTGTCTCCTCTGAATGGTAAGCCTCATTCCACAAGAGTGCATATTACAGCAATAATTCTCTCCATGACATCCCGCCAGTACTGCTGTTCTGCTTTTATTTGTTCCTCTCGCTTGGAAGTTAATATTTTCCCTCACTTCCTTGTTAGGTTGGCCAACATGGCATTCCTATGCTTCTCTGAGTTTTCATGAGTTTGGATAAGATGGGGGATTTGCCAGTCATCAAACCCTTCAGTAGCTAAAGCTGTGGAAGAAGATGCAAGGTTTGGAAAGAGTTTACAAACAAAGCAATAAATCTGGCCTTTTGAGGGAGAATATACAAGCCACTCTCGGCTATATGTTTCCCCATTTGCTCTTGTTGAATAAAAAGAGCTTTTGTGCAAAACCTGGACTGCTTTTTGTACACTTGCTTGGAAATTGAAAATCGTCCACAATGATGCAGAACTTGATAGTTGGCTCAGGCTGGATAGCTTTACTGCTGGCTCTTGTTGCTTCAATGAGCGGTTGATGCACAAAAGCAGTGATTGGTCTTAACTTCATTACCATAGCATTTTCAAGTCTCTGTCTCTTGCGCTTGCTAGTACCACTTTCAAATCTTTTACTCATGCTCAGATTAGAATCTAAAAATGAAAGCTAAAATTAATCTTCAACTGGATAGACACATGGATCAGAGGTCCATCAGTGACTATTGGCACAAGGTATAGATGGTTGCTGCTGAAGGGTTACAGAATTCAGTTTTCCACTGTGGCGAAATGGGCGCCCACCCTCAACCCTGGGGGACTGAGTAGCCAGTTTGTGGCTCGTGAGCCCCGCTTTGCCTTTCCCCCTCCTTGGTGGGCTTCTGTCACTCTTCAGTAGCTGCCACCACTCATTTCCTCCCCAATGCCTTTCTTGAGGGGCAGTGAGACCCCTCTGGCTGACTCCTGGGGTTTGGAGATGAAACCCCCTAACTTTGGGTTTTTCCTGGAGAGCTGGCACCTGCACATTTTGGGCTTTTTCCCTCCGAGGACACTTCTTATGGCACTGGTAGTGGGCAGAGTGGGGGAGACTCCGTGGTCAGAGCACCAGACTGGGGTTTTAAACAAAGAACAAAGATTTTATTGACTACTTACGAGTAACAGGATTTTAAACACAAAAAGGCATTTTAAATCAAACACAGAAAGGAAAACACCACTGGGCACAAATAAAAGAAAACAAAATGCAGTTCCTCTGTCCCTGAACTGATCCCTATACTTATTTTCCCTCAGGATTATTTATATCTCTAAGATTCTGCAGACTTTGGCTATGAACTGGGGCCCCACAAAAAATTTGCCAGTTCAGCCCCAGAGTTTCAAATTGGGCCCCACTGGCTGGCCCTGAGTCTCATAGTTGCTGGGCCCGAGTTGCCCTGCCCTCGCATGAAGTCTTGGATTTGCAATTTTGGGAGAGGGGAGACTGCCCACTGGGGGGGGGGAAGGGCTGTGGAGGCCCCCTAGATTTAGAGGCCCTAGGCTTCAGCCTACTTAGCCTATACATAAATCCGGCACTGGCTCTGAGACTCTGAGTTAAGGGTGGGGTATAAATCCAATCTCTTCTACCTCCTCCTTCTCCTCCTCCTTCTCTTCTTCTTTTTCTACTCAGCAAGGTTTCTGATCGCCTATTAGAGATGTGATTAGCTGTGCAGATTTTTGTAAATATTGCTTTGGCAACAGCTTCCACGACAGCATACAGATCTACACTGTGTTACAGAAGTTAAGCTGTAGCCAATCATTTTGTGGCTGGTTCCACCTCCTATGGCAGACATTTTGTGGCAGACATTTTGTTGCTGCACTCACCATATGTGTCAGAATTCTAAATGTGCCTGCAGGCTCAAAAAGGTTGGGAACCGCAGATCTAGTGTGAGTGGAATAATGTTTGAAAGATGTGAACTTTTCCCCCTTCATTCTCCTGGTGCAGCCTGCTACTATCCTCATGCCAAATTGTGCCCCCTCAGCAGTTTATGGATCCTTATGGATAGCATGGGTATGAAATAGAGGCTGTAAGAAGGGGAAACTGGTGAAAATTGCTCCTTCTTTCTCCTGGCATAAGTGTCATCTGCAACCAGAAAACATGATGAGGATACATCTCACTATCTTGTGTGCGTTTAAAAATCTCCTTCCTTTCCACTGCAGGTTGTACTGCACACTCTTGGCTTTGAAACAAAGAAAGGAGATATTAGAAAAATGGTAGCAGAGATTGGCAAAAATGACCATAGCTTCATAAATTTTGAAGATTTTTTGACCATTATAATTAAAAAAATGGTAAAACAGTAGTCCATAATCTTGCTTTCATGAATTACAAGCTTCTGTGTGTTTGAGTGAATATAATAGCTATATATTATGGCAGACTCAGCAGATCGATGATTTTCAAAAAAATAAATCTGAATTCATGTCAGTGGGAAGTAGAATGTCTCTATTTCCACAATATATCTTGAGTACCTTGCTCATTAACTGTGTTCAAATCAATAGATATATCTTGTTCTAGAACTGTAATGATATTTTAAAGATACTCCTTGGGTTTAGCGAGGGATAATGCCCATACTTTCCACCTTTACTCATTCTAAGGTAAGGGTGGAGGAGGCTCATAAAAGAAGGGGAAACTGGTGAAAATTGCTCCTTCTTTCTCCTGGCATAAGTGTCATCTGCAACCAGAAAACATGATGAGGATACATCTCACTATCTTGTGTGCATTTAAAAATCTCCTTCCTTTCCACTGCAGATTGTACTGCACACTCTTGGCTTTGAAACAAAGAAAGGAGATATTAGAAAAATGGTAGCAGAGATTGGCAAAAATGACCATAGCTTCATAAATTTTGAAGATTTTTTGACCATTATAATTAAAAAAATGGTAAAACAGTAGTCCATAATCTTGCTTTCATGAATTACAAGCTTAAGGTTGGTCCTCCATTACTTTTTTCTTTCCTTTTGTCAGAGTGAAAAAGATAACAAAGAAGAAGTCTTAAAGGCTTTCCAATTATTTGACACTGATGGAACAGGCAAAATTTCACTTAAAAATCTAAAGAATGCTATCAGTGAACTTGGAGAAGATATATCTGATGAAGAACTTCAGGTATATGACTTGTTTGGTGATGCCTTAGTCAATAAATGCAGCAGGTCTGTTCACCTCTATAGACACCAGTGAGAGTTACCATAGCTAGGGATCATGGTATTGATCTGATAAATGTATTTGATGGGTTTTAGTAACTATTCACTATCTTACTAAAGTTAATAATTCTATATCATATATATGGGAGATCAATAGGATGCCATCTTTAGAGAGGGTGTTCCATTTTAGCAATAAGAATAATAAAAACAGTGCTGCTTGTAATTTATCTTTATTTTAATAGCAAAAGTTTTGAAAGCACTAGTGTATTACCTTGTTAAAAGTGTATTGCCTTGTTAAAAAGAGTTTTTGATACATCTATAATGGTGCTTAATCTTAAATATCTTTACAGGAGATGATAGAGGAAGCTGATCGTGATGGTGATGGAGAAGTAGATCAGCAAGAATTCTTGAGAATTATGAAAAAGTCCAATTTATATTAATTGTTCTGTCATTTTAACATTACCTAAAAATACTTTTTTACAAATCAATATTCAAAGCTGGTTGTGTATAAATAATTATATGTATATGTACTGATGCCAGTGAAAGGAGCAATTGCTGACTGAACACTGAAAAGTTAAAACACAATCTAAGCTAAGTGTTTGGTTGTATTAATTATCTTTTCAAGTGCAAGATTCAGAAAAGTACAGATTTGTTCTTCTTCCTTAAGCTTTGAGGGACATATATAATAGTTTATTGCCCCATTGAGAGCTACAAATTATGCAGGTAGACTTATATTGCCCGTTGTAATGATACTTTGCATTAGTTCTCATTGACTTACATAATCAACTGAAGATACATTCATAACTAGGAAGATAACAAGTTTGCATTTCTGGTATTCTGGTGAATTTGAGTGTGTACCTCCCATTATTTTTGTTCTTCATTGGCCATAACTTTTAACATCTATGAGAAACATTGAACAGCAAGAGGAGTACAAGGGACCAGAATCCAGTACTTCCTTATCATAAATCTGAACAGAGTTTCAGTCCCTGATGCCAGGGTCTATTTGGGTCAGAGTTCCCACATCTTTAAAGACCTGTGTAGGAATGAAAGCTTCATCAGCTATAGCTTCTCCTCTCACAGCACTGAGAGCCTACAGTTGCTAAAGTTCCCTTACGTAATTATCTCTACCCTACCTTGTCAAATTGACGACTTCAATTGAAATTTACATGCTTCTGCTGCCTCCCCCATCCCCAATCTTTACAAGCATTCATTATACATCTAAACAATTCACACAATCAACAATTTTGTTTATAATAGTCACATTTTACCTTTGATGATGATTTCATTTCCATGGTGACGTGTAAAATTCCAGATTTTGTGTTTGTGATATAGACTATGAAGTCATGAGGGTCTTGGTCATGTTACCACCATCTCTTCTATATCCTGACATTTTATTTGTCAACTGAGGTCCAAACTAGGCTTGCATTTAACTTGCTTTTCTACCTATTGGGGGGAGGGGGAGATATATATCTTTTATCCAATGGGAGAAAAACAGCGAACCATGACAGCCTAACCATCATTATTTAAAAATGAATATACCCTTAAGTTTAAAATCCTAGACTATGGTGTAATATGACTTACGTTCTTTAAAAAGCTAGTGAAATGTATTTTGGAGGTTTCTCTTTCATGTGGAAAGCTACTTGAGGTATGGTTCAACAAATTATTTGGGTTAGGATCAGCTACCTACTTTGTTGACACAGCTTCTACAAGGCATTGTCACTGTGTGGGTATATCTGATTCTACTGGATAAACTATTTTTTTATAGTATGCAATATCACTAGCATGAGTTGTGTTTATTTCTGACCTGTCACTGGCATATACTCTAAAGTGGATGTAGGTATGGTCTACTGTGACAGACTGCACTTTTTAAGAAGCTTAAAAGTGCTGTAAAAACAGAGTAAAGGTATGTGAAGGGTTCATTCTTCACAGAGCCGGAGAGCCTGGAGTGACAGGCTGCTCTGAGCAATCTGATTGGTCAGCATCAGCTGAGCAGACAGAGTCTTGAGAGAGCTGGATGATGAGGAAATTCTTTCTGATTTGAGCCTTGAGTGGAGAAAGTCCAAATTCTGCCTGGACAGAGTCTAATTTCAGCTCTAACTGAGAGCAGTTTAACACAGACAGGAGAACTGGGGGATAGGAGGTTTGGGAAGTAAACTGAGACTCCCATTCAGGCCAAGGAAAGGGGATAAAACTTCTTGCAAGAGAAGACTCCCTACCCAGTTAAACAGGGAAAGTTATCTCTAAGGAGTAAAGATTCCCTGGTCTAATGAGATTGGAAACCACAGTTAACAACTCAAGAAGATTTCTGGTGTTCCAAGAGAAAGGGGGTTGTGTACTGGGAAGACATTCTGGTAGGGCTGCCAAGCCGCAGCGGGGATCCGCACGTCTTCACAGGATCCCTGCCGCGGGGGACAGTGATACGTGTTGCATCGCCGTCGCCAGGATGTGACGCTACGCGTCGCTCTGGCAATGGGGCTGTTTGGAGTCCCATTGCCAGAGCGACGCGTAGCATCACATCCTGGCGACGGCGGTGCAACGCGTATCGCTGTCCCCCGCGGCAGGGATCCTGTGAAGACGTGCGGATCCCCCGCCGCGGCTTGGCAGCCCTACCTTCTGGGCACCAAAAGAGTCTGCTGTTATACAAACAAAGTGAACTAGAGTGGTTTGGGGGAAAACCAGGAACCAAAGTGTCTCAAAATAAAAGGCTATAGTAACTGTGATTAATTCAAGAAACTCTCACGAGCCTCATCTTTAAGAATAAGAATTTGTGCTTATACTATTTTACCTCAGTATTTTCAACCCCTGACTTCACCTAACCTTTTACCCTTAATGTTAAATATGTATGTAAGATTTTTATTGTATATGGCATTCAAAGAGTACTATGATTTAAAACATTACCTTCAGAATAAAACTCAATTATACAACTAAAATGTCAAAATCACAGCAGTTTGGAATTGTAAAAACATGGTATCAGTACTTTATAACTCATTGTAAAACATTTCTAAGGGCCGCCTTGGATCTAACTTTCCTAGCAGCAAGTGCAAAGAGCGTTACCTCGTGTGAAACCAAAAGGTATGTATCCAACAAGAGAAATAACAACTTTTCGCCGTCAGGTAAATTGTGCACTTGGCTTAAGATTCCGAATAGGGACCTGCTTCTGAGGCGCGAGTATAAAGGACAAATCATTATATAATGAAATTTAATGTTAAATAAAACCTTCTGTTATTTTTGAATTTTAAAAGCATCTCAAGTGCCATTTTCTGTCATTTAAGGTAAAGGGAGACCCTAACCCAGATGTGTCAAACTCATTTGTTATGAGGGCCAGATCTGACATAAAAGTCACTTTGTCAGGCCGGGCCACGTGTGCCATAAAATGTAATGCCAGACACTGGAGATACAAACTTTATAAAGAACACAGGCAAACCCAGTTAAGGATACTATTTTTTACTCAAAAACATGTTTAAAACATTAACACTCTTACAAAATTTCCTTACAATATCTCCCTGATGCCCACCTTCCCACTACCACTGCCCATTATGCATTAGCACTGGAACAGTATACAGAGACAGCTTCTGTCATCTGGCCGTAAAGGTAATCAGTTGCTCATCCAGATGAGAGCCCTGGATGGGCCAGTTCCAGCCTATGAACTGTATGTTTGACACCCCTGCCTTAACCCTTCCCTTAGATCCTGGGCTGAGAAAATAGCCATTACATATTACTGACACAGGGTGGAACTGCTAAAGCTATTTTAAAGATAAGAATACACATTACCAGGGGTGCTCAGTCAGTGAAGGGACACAAATAGAAAAACGGAGGGAAAATCTTGCCTCTGGGCGGGGGGGGGGGGGGGGACAGGGGGGAGTGGACAGGGTCTGTCATATCTACATATTCAGAAAAATTATGCCAGAATCCTAAAGGCAGGGCTTTCTTTCCTGGGGGAACGTGCCAGAATGGAGTTTCGGAACCTCTTCGACAAAATTCTTTAAAAAATGTTTAAAAGTTCATGAGTTTTCAGTATATGGATTGAAAACTTCATTTCCCTCTTGAGAGTTCCGGTAACTCTTTTTTTAAAAAAAAGCAAAAAAAAAAAAAAAAAAAGCCCTGCCTAAGGGGGTAGAATAGACTGTCCAATTTCAGTCATGCTCATTTTTAAATACTCCCCTTCATAAACTCTGTGGATGCATCCACATGGTGATGATTGATTGCTACAGTGGGGGGAAATGGCACCTGAGGCTGATGTGGGCAGGACCTTAAAAAATGCACATCTTGCTGACCAGATAGCATGTTTGGACAGCTGGAAAGATAGTAGCAAATCAGGTTGGCATGCTATCTGGACAGCATGATGTGCATTTTTGAAATTCTCTCCACAACTGAAAACTAGCAAATCAAGGCAAAAGATTGGAGCAAGACAGGGGAAACCCTGGAAAGTGGACAAGATAACATCCTTGCTTGAGCTGCTCATCTTAAGGCTGCCTATCTTCTGTCCTTGCCACCTTGAGTAGAGTATGAGACAACGCCTTGCAGTATCTAGCTGCCAGCTCTTAAGTAGTGGATTTGTATAGGTGGCTCTGTTCCCAGAAGCACTTAATCATTCATATTAAGTTCTGACTGTTTCTACAGAAATCACTATGATGAAAGTTCTTTGTAAGAAAATAGTTCTGTGATCAATCAATAAGGTTTTCTCCCTTTTGAGAGAATCCCGTATGACCTCACTTAAACGTTAAGGGCTGGCTGACCTGATTTTTATATATCAGCTTGCAAGGGAATGTATTAGGAGCCATGTCAGACAAACAAGAATTTCATTTTTTACACTTTCGTATAATGCACAATTCACAAAGCAGAGAACTTACAAAAATTTTCAGGTTAGGGGAAAATGCCTCTTTGCAGGAATAAGTATTTCTAACACATTATAATCCTTAATTGTAGTTAATGCTGCAGCCAAAGAGAAGTCTTTCTCTGCCTTGACTTCCAGAGATGCAGCTAAAGTTCTGGATTAATTATAAGCATACAAAAACATACTCAGGCCTGTGAGGAATTGCAGGGGTGTATTAGCCATACCCCCATTATTGTGGCTAAGGTTTACTTTATCCCATCAGACCCAAGAACCACTCCTTCACTTGCACACAACCCTGGTCCATGCCTCTGCCCTTTTTTCTTTCCAAACCTAGAAACGTTTTACTTCCTGTATACTCAGGGACTGAATCTTTCTCCCAGATCTTCTGAGCTGCTGACGTCTCCATTTTGATTCCCCTGCTGGACTTATTAGCTGCCTAGCCATTTGAACCTTCTCCATTGGTGCTGGACTCTCTAATGGAGTCTAGGACTGGTAGCTACAGCTTATCCTTTCTCATTTGCTGTCTCTCGCCCCCTGCTACCTGCTCTTCCATTTGAGCATGGGAACCTGCTCATGTTCAGGATAACTGGAATCAGTCTCCCTGTT